ACACGTTAAAAGGTAAGACCTCGTTAGTCCTTAGCTCGCACAAGTTTCGACTTCTGAGGGTTGTCTTTCGTAGAGGTGCGACAACTTGTTAACGGAAAAAGAGATTTTAAACAAATAGCGGGTGAATGTCCTATTCACCGGCTAAATTTGAATAATGTAATTTTTTCAAACAACTTACAAGGGAAGAACTAATTGTCATATATCTACATGTACTGAAACTTGCAAAAAATATACTTTAATGACCTCCACCTGAACGGAATGTTCTGGTAATATCACATTGTATAGAGGATTGGATGAACATACTTTATTTATTCATAAAAATAAAACAAACTTATTGCGAGGATTCTCAATAGTAAGTAATTGATTCACATGAAGCATTATTCAGGGACAGCATTTCTATTTTTTCTATTTTAATGAGAAGATAAAAGAGAATTGTACTGTTGAAATTTGATTGTTATTTTTTTTAAGAAAGGCGTTCAAAAACGTATAATAAAATGTCAACATAGTAAAAACTAAGTGAGAAAAGGTGTTCTAGATTTTCATTATATCATTACAGTGAACGTTTTGAAAAATGGGCATAAAGCGTTTCAATGAATTGGAGACGTCAATGACAAAAAAATATCTCCGTCATGTGTAAATATGTTTTTCCTACTAACAGCAAACCTCAGCACGAGTTGGACGACAACAAGTGAAAATAGATCGTTCAGCCTGCGGCTTGAACCACCGACTCACACATCGGTCGATTGAGAGACTGAACAATGCATCCATGTCGAACCGTCCGGCTACCGACCGGTAGTCGGACGTGAAACATTGATATTTCATGTGAAGTTTTAGGAAAATTTCGAATATACTGTAATTTTTCATTATTCGTAACTATGGAATGGAGTTTTTGTAAACAAATGGTTTGAAAATTGAGCATATCTCACCGATTTGTGCCCGAACTTCGGGAGAATTGTCTTCAACAATTAATATATATTCAGTCCCATTTTTCAAGGGGCATGTTGATATAATTTTTACTTCAATTTCAAACAATCTGAAGTTCTGGAAGTACTTTATAAATTTTACCCGAAACTAAAATTTTCTTCAGAAGTGATGATGAGAAATATTTTTCAGACATTAAAATTCACAGAACTGATAACCAAATATTGGTTTACAACACATATTCCGACACGAAATTGATATAAACAATAATTTAAAACCAAGAGTACCTCTACTCTCAATTGCGGACCCAAACTATCGCCATAAAAATTTCAAATCAATCAAATATTTCTCGTAAAAAAGGATTATTTCCTAAAAACTTGCATTCCAACTCAGTTTACAAGAAATATTGTAATATCTTTTCAAAATTTTACGTAGGTCAAGCTAGAGAATATTTGAAAATTAGGATATCAGACCATGACAGAGACAGGGAAAAAAGCAATGGCCGTAATACCACAACACTTTTCAAATTGTGGAGTTCCGAATGTTCACACTGTTTTATCAAAGAAAATCGTAAGTAAATGAAAATCTTTATTGTATCAAACCTATTCACACATACCTACGAGAATATATTTTGGAAGTAGGTATAAACTATTATGTTATAGGAAATAATTTTGCAGCGACCTTTAGATCGAAATAATAAACTTCGAAACGTTGCTGAAAAACAGGTTGTTTTTCATTTTTACGATTTTTCTAATACTTTGTCCAACCAGTCCGTCATTCAAAATATTATTTAGATCACCATTTCGTCACAGAAAATCTTACTGATATTATTTTTCAATGATATCGAATTATCAATAGATTTTTCATAGTCAATTACAAATTGTGAAAACACTATATGGAGAAATGTTAGATTTGAAAAAATTCTTCTTCGATCAGGGGTGGACTGAAACCTACAACATCAAACGTCATCGGACATATTCCATTGTGGTGTTAATCGTGATCGACACCAAATTGGTTTCGGGAGGAAAAGAGGAGGATTTATTTTTGCCTCTATTTTTGCGCAATTTAAAAGAATATATAAACTTTCCAGCTGGAGTGAACCAACATTTAAGGTGCTGGTGGGATGGTCAGTAGTACGTATCGCATTGAAAAAAAGAAACCGAAATTGATTCACCGTTTCGTTGCTGTTTTTAAACCTACGACGTAGTATGATGTATGGTGCCACAGCATACCTAACAATTTGGGTATGATGTGATGATGCAAAGTAACGTGTCAAATTTTCAAGCGTTAGGTACGCTGACTTTGCTCTTTCGTTCTTGTTGCAAAATTTCATCATTTCGAATTCGAAACGGCGCACCAGCACCAATTGGTTGCTGTACCGATTCCGCCGCTGTCTACAATGACCTTCTTCGCTTAAGTTCGTGACGAGTCGTAATACGTCACATGAACAACAAGCGATCAAGAAGCGAAGGCGCGAGGCAACAGGGAATGAACAATGAACTAGTAGCACAGATTAATAGTAGTGCGATTGCCGCGCGGCTTTGATAAGGCGTCGTGAAAAATGTCTACCGAAGCTAGTAACGATTTCTCTCGCGATCTCAATACAAAACATTTCATAAGGGAGGTTCAACTTCGACCAGCCATCTGGGATCCCTCGTGTGATGATTATAGCGATAAAAAGAGAAGAAGGGAATGTTGGGAGGAACTGACCTATTTGTTTTTGGCCAAAAGTAATATATCGACACCAGTCACGGAGGCAGAACGGGAAATATTTAGTGAGTACGGCAGTTAACTAGCGACCACGACCAAGTCTGTATACAGGCTCGGATTAAGCAGCTTCCTCGAGCAGGATAGATTTTTTTATTCTGCTTGAGTTAGCGAAACAGGAGTTGATGTCTTACAAACCTACTGTTAGTGAAAATCGTTCAGGAAATTATAGTACATACTTTGAGTTAAATATGAAATTTACCAAAGTAACGGTCAGATCAATTCAATGAGTGATTCACTTCGGATTTACTCGAACAATCAAATTCGATTGATGCTTTCGATGTTTTAAAATTATCAAAATAAAATAATAATAATAATAAGTAGGTGTTTCGAGAAGGCTTTTTTTTCTAGTTCGTGTCTGAAAGTTACTTCTTTGCATGATCTACACATCTTTGTATAGAATTACTTTTCTGAAATTGATTGCTTCCTTCCTTTTTTGGGAGATTCCCACATTTTTTGTATCAAGATGGAGAAGTAGAAATAAGCCAAAACCTTTATTTCCAAAAAAAATTATACAGTATTTGTTGAGAAAAATTATTTCGATTTGACTCCAGTCGACTGTCAAAAGTCTAAACGCAACTGAATACTGAACACAACATGAAAAAAATATATTTTTGTGTGCTAAAGAAAAATATTCACCACACCAGACTGGAACAAAAGAGATGGAAAACTAGCACATATATTTGACATTGAACTCCTGCGTTCTCTAATACAGTCCCCGTTTTGTCTTTTATGGTATATACCTGATATTTATGGAATACAATATGTAAAAATAAAATTATCTCAGACACTTTCGCCACGGCTTCGCACGTATAGCATCATCATATTACAACCAATTCACACAAAACAATAATGAATTATTCACATAAACCTTCTTGTTGAATCACTCCACCTATTACAGAAACCGTATAATAAATAAACCATTCGGTAGTTTTTGAATTTATCGCATTCAGATAGACGCAACGGGGATGTTATAGAATTCAGTTGGATAGGAGAAGGTGACATGGTTGGGAGAACCAAAATGCCACATTTTTACAAAAACTACTTGAGGATATCTATGAAGAAAATAAAGTTGATTATTTTTTCGTAAAAATCAGAATACAAATATATGCTAAACCTATTACGTTTTATTCATACATCATCCACTATGTTAACGTTGGTCAAAACCCAACTGTGGGATAATCGATGTTCATTATGTGTATTGTCTTACCTGTGCTAGAAATCACACTTTAAAATGTAATATACTTCGGTAATCCTTAACTCGCACAAGTTCCTACTTGGGGTCAAACGTAAGGATGCGACAGATATTATTTTTATCAGAAAAATCCAAGATTAAATTCGACGACTTAAGTCTGGATCTACGACTCAAGTCTGGATCTACGACTCAAGTCTGGATCTACGACTCAAGTCTGGATCTACGACTCAAGTATGGATCTAAGACTATTAAAATTCAAAATGTGAGAAAATTCACGGCATTAGTCAATTCATTAATTGAAAATTAGTTTAATGGAAGGTTTCCTTGAATAGTATCTAATATCTATAATAAGACTTCCGAAAATGTATCAAGCTTCATCTCTGAATGTCTTTTTTTCAGCAAGACTGCTACAAAAAAGATGGAAAAATGTTCGAGATTGTTTCACAAGAGAATTAATGAAGTACAAGGGAGTCGGTCCCAGAAGAAGTACCTATTTGTATTTCAAACAGTTGTCTTTCTTAAAAGATGTTGTTAAACCTGACAACAGAAGAGCAAAAATGAAATCTTCAATAGCTGAAACTAGACGAGTTGTGAAACAAGAACCACAATTTACTTCTATTCCAAATGGAAACTTTTGCCGTGATACAACGCCTGAGAATCCTAACGACCCACTGGCATCTACAAAGGAAACTGAAGTCCATTTAGAAGAAGATTGTGACCGTATGTTTCTTTTATCTTTGTTGAAGCCCTTGAAGAAAATACCAGAAGATAAACGCTTCGATGTTAAAATGGAAATAATGCAAGTTATTCATATCGCTCAGCTCTCACTTCAAAATGGTGTTACGCAGTTTGAAGGAGAAACATCTTCCGCTTTGAACATAGAAGAAGACCATAGTTTAGATTCCATCAGAGAACCACTTACGCCCACTTTGTCTGATAATAGTGATATTGTATGAATAAATTCAGTTCTATACATCGTCACGTCTTTTTTTTAGATAATAGCCTTGTAATTTAACTACTTCAATAAATCAAAAATACATCTTCTGGATGGGACTTAAATATAAGTTGTCTGCCTAGGGTGACCATAAGACATCTCACTTCGTTTGTCCATGAATCCCCTGTTTGTTAAAGACGACGGTGTCTTTCTGGTCCAGAGAGTGGCCCATTCCTCTCGTTTGTTCGCTTGTTGTTACAGGACTTTGTGAGTGCTGCGTGATTTTTGGATTTGGCTGACAGGTCTGTGCCAGCTTGTTGAAGCTGTTCTCCGACTTTGGAACGTCTGCTATGTACACCGAAATTTAAAGTGAAAGAACGGCACCCTGGGGGACTCCAGCTTCCAGCAATCTCCTGGTGTGAAGTTCTTATCGTACCCTGCATTTGGCATCTTCTATTTGCTATTTTGATTGCTCGTGCAACCAAAATTGGTCAACTTGCCACGAGTCCATCATGTCAAACTGTGTCGAAAGCATTAGAGACGTCAAAGAATATTGCTCTTGTATGATAACCTTTTTTCCAGGTTGAAACCTGCAATAGCATAGTTGACCACTCGAGCATTCTGTGCTAAATCGAAAATGCTCATCCGGTAGGATGTTCAGTTCTTCAGATTAATCCTCTAGTCGTTTCAAAATGAGGCGATCAGCCACCTTGTTAGGTTTCTTGATCGTTGCCACTTTGTAGTCAGGGAATAGCGTTGTTGATGTTAGTCATCGCTGCTAGTCCCTTCCTGGGTAAGATTGCCAGCGCTCGGGATTTGATGCTAGCCTGGAGCTTTTCAAGTGGCAAAACTTCTTATGTAACTTTTCCAAATCTTAAATTGCCAGAGCGAAGTCTCAAGAATTTTACTCATCTTCATTCTACCTCGACCTTCATAACTTCTCTATTAGTCTTCACGCCGTACGTCATAACTCCCAGATGTTTTCATAACAAGTCTCAAGATGTCTATTTCGCACGCCAGGAGACAGGAGCAAATGAACAAGTAGATTCTCTCTTGATTTAACTGTGTTTATTTTTCAGCTTGTGAAAGGATGAAAACCCAGAAAAATAGCAGAAACGGAGGTATGACCCCTGGTCAGCTAGTAGAACTACTTCGAATTTTACTTGTATCTATCGCAGAAAGCAACCGAAGAAAAACAATTTTATTGGATCAGACTAACGTAGTTTGATTATGGCATAGTCTGGCTATGCCACAATTTTAGGCTCATTCAAAGGCGCCCGTTCAAAGACAGTAGAATGTTAAATAGTTTTAGTGTACCCATTGTGATCATTATTCTGTTATTGAAAGTGATCGGAAATAGTAATTAAAATATCTTAGATATCAGGAAACTTGAGGTAGCTAGTGATTAGTTTGTACAAATGAAATTACTGTAGAAATGCTTTATGAACCTGATTTTATACATTCTGTAGTTGGCGAAACGATTTGAAAAAAAATAAGCAAACTATTTCATACAAAACCAACTGATCTAGTTGCCTACGAAGAAAAGATTATCAATAAATTGATGGATGTAGTCATTACTATGTGGTAGGAGATCATCATGAAAAAGTAGAAATAAAACTTTCTATGTTGTAACTAACGTTACTGCAGTTTCATCCTATAAGAACATTTTCAAACGTTGATTGTAATCCTTTGAAAATGTTCTTATAGGATGAACCTGCTGTAATGTCAGTTACAAATACAAGTGGTAAAAAAACAGAAAGTTTTATTTCTCATAACACATCTACACCCTAAGAAAAACATTCCAAATTATACGAGTTACAGAAAACGACAGAAAATATTAGATATACTTTTTGGGTTGGATTGGTGTTTGGCATTTAAATTGCCCTTACCACCTGGTGCAGAAGTATGTCAATTGAAAGGAATAGAAATCTACCCGAGAAAATGTCTATTGACCGGGAATCGATAAAGGCTATGAAAAAATGCTATTCTTGCCAACAAAGCAGAAAAATGAGGAAAGTAAGTACATCATTATATTTTTAGGGTTGCTATATCGACAGAACCGTGGTTCTACTTGCATCTAGATTTTTTCGGTCCATATGAGGGAAGAATGTGGAAGTTGGTCATTGATTGTTATACCCACTGGCTAGATATCGAGATCTAAGATACAATCTCTCTGGACATTCTTGAAGTTTAGATTACCAATTTTTTTTAGGCTCTGATAATGGTCAACAACTGACTTTTGGTGAATTTGAAGACTTTTATAAAAGCACGGAATAACCCACAATTTTCACACCGAAACACCAAGAGAAGTTCAGGATATAGTACTCCCAGCCAACTAATGTTTTGGTACCACCTCAAATCCCGCTTTGATTTGCTTAAAACTATTGCAACTTCAAATGTGAAACTAGACCAAATCAAACCTTTATGTTGTTGGTGGTGTAGGATTGTAGTAAACCGTTCCATTACACGGCTTATCATGTTTATATGACTGACAACAACACACAAACATTGAACTGAGACCATTATGTTCAGGAAATATAGTTTTTACAAAAGTAAATATTCGAAAATACGTTCCTTTTAGAATTCGAAGGTCAGTCAGGTTAGATGTTGAGGAAACATAGTTTTTACAAAAGTAAATATTCGAGAATACGTTCCTTTTAGAATTTGGAGGTCAGGTTAGATGTTGAGGATATATAGTTTTTTAAAATTCTAAATTAAGGTTAGACTGAGTTAGATTAGGTCGGGTTAGGTTAGGTTGAGTTAGCATGTGATCTAATTTCAAGAAACTTGGCTATAAGTGAATGAAAAGGGATAGAAAAAAGTGCGATGATATGGAAAAAGATGTGTTGAATAAAAAATATGTGAATTGCAATCGTTTATTGCTTAATAAAAAAGGTAAAATATGACATTATACAACTTTTGACAGGCTATATCTCGAAAACTAATTGAGTCTGACAAAAAATAAAAAGTGTTCTGAATTCTTACCATTACTTAGTATCATCACACATCCCATAAAGTAAAATTTTCCCGAAATTTTGAATATGAAGTAATTTTAGGCTCCTTCATTACCCCGTTGAATAATTGTTTAATTTTCATTTGGAATGAATATTTGATCGTCTCAGGCACAGATGACAAAAGCGGAAATACCTTTTTCGAAAATATGCTTCAACTATGGGAAAAACTGAGAATTTTTGGCTCATATTAGGTTCCAATACATATTATAAATATTTACATTCAGTTTTGTTTCGTGCCAACTTGTTTCATTAATTTTATTTGTTCCTGTATTATTTTTCTTAGTCTTTGAATTATTTCTGTAAGTCTTTGATCTAAATACAGATGGAAATTGTAGGCGCACCATTAATGTTGCCTGTACATTATAATTAAATTTTTTTGAAGAAATGTCCCAAATATCGACAACCTGTGGCAATTATTTCTTAGATTTCAGAAGAGTTTACAAGAACGTGCATTTGCGATATTCAGTTGACAGTTATCAAAGAATCGAAAATTAATTTATATTAAAAATACTTTTTGACAATGATACAGGAACTAATAAAAATTGGCATTGTCTGGAAAGTTGAAAAAATATGTTCAAAATGTTTTTCTGTTAACCTGAAATAGATATAAAACGGATATCCATAGAACATCCTGTGTTATCTGGGCAGCTGTGCCACACCTGCGAACAAAAACCCTCAGAAGTCGAAACTTGTGCGGGCTAAGGACTAACGAGATCTTACCTTTTAACGTGTGATTCCTAACACGGGTTGGACGATAGCAAGTAAAAATCGAACGTTCAGCCTGCGGCTTAAACCACCGACTAACACGGCGGTCAATTGAGTGAGTGAATAAGGCACCAATGTCGAACCGACCGACTACTGACCGACCTTAAACATTGAAAATTATTTTCAAACTCAACATCACAGGATTCACCTGATTCCAAAACTTGTTTAGTACTAGAGTACAAGAGATCGAAAGCATTATCAGAAGTCTTGTTACAAGAAAGGCTTCAGCCCAAACCAAACCATGACAACCTCATTGAGTCACCCCGGTGTCATTTCAAGTAAGTCACAATGATCATGATCTTAGAAGTTAACAAACAACCCATATTCTCTGAAAACCACTGGCCATCTATAAGTAAGGTGATGGATCATGTCACTTTGAAAAGGCTCCAAGACTATACAGAATACTGAGCATACTACTGAACAGTATAGCCATGAACAATCAACGTAACTACACTAGCTGAGTGTACCAAAATCTACTATTAAAGGTACAGAACCAGATCAGGAAATGAGTTAATTTGATAAAATCAAGCAAATTAAAAATTTTTTGAGGAAGGATCCGATTGATCTCCTCAAACTTTATTTGTGTTAGCAAAACATGTTGTGATATATTTTTCAAATAAAGTTTGAGGAGATCAAATCGTGACGTGTAATTTATGAAATTACTATGGATCTCCATCAAGTAACGGCTGAATCAATCAGAAAAAAGCAGCATCTTCAATATCATGAAAATTGCTGTCGATGAAAACTTTTTTCGACTATAATTTATTCTTAATTGATTACTTAAAGTTTGAATTGGTTGAACAAAGTCACTGACATTTTGTTGGGAGGGGAAGAGGGCTACCTTTCAAACTGCAGAGATCTGAATTTTGAACAGATCTGAAGATAGTGAGTTCTGACCCATTTTCAACAAGATTTTTTTCTAATTGAAGTTGGATTGATTCTACTACACTACGGTTGACAGAATTGCAAATAAGCTTTCGATGGCTCACAGAGTTATAACCATAATACTGAGAATACCAAGCTAAAGACCGTAGCTGTCGATGTTGTTGACATAAAAAACTTGCCAAATTCAGAACTACCAACTTTTCGTTGGCATACCAGCATCTCTGTACTATCGACTGTGAGTTCCTAAATGAATCAATGAATGTAAAAGTGCAAAACTTTATACTTTCACACTCTATAGCTATATTTTATACTTTTACATTCTTATTTTTACCCAGATTATACTCAGTGTCATTTTTGCTAACCTCTTAACCCTGCAGGAGACGCGTCATTAATTTGTATATCAAAAAACGCATTGGATCTGATATACCCAAGAGGAGAAAAAATCAAATTTTCTAAATAAATGTTTATTTCTGATAAGGTGTTACATAAATCTTTTATATGGACAAATAGTTTTGAAAAAAACGGGAAACAATGTCCTATTTTCAAAACAAAAAATAAAATCGAATTAAAATAAAAACTTTATGCATTTTTGGTATCGTTGCACTAAACACCATGTATAACATTTAATCCGGAAAATTTGCCGTACATGCTTGACAAACAGATACAGAATGTTCTAGGCGTATATATTTTTTACACAACCGGCATGTATATCTTGTTTTCCGATTTTTACAGAAGGCACATCTTCCACGTTTATTTTTTTCGATTTCGACACGCTCAACCAACACATTAGCACTAATTCTAGCTGCAAGCTGTCGAATTTCTCTTGGCAGATATTTGAATTGTTTCCATTTGAATTATCTCTGTATATAAAACCATGGCGTTTATACCAGCAACATTGAGGAGCCCATATATAACTACCATGGGCCACCTACGTATTTCTCGAAACATAATATTTTGCAGAAAGTTGGTCAACTGTATCAACTCCGCCTTTGGTCGAATTGTAAAAAGTAATTATCTATGGTTTCGCCACTGCAACAGATGACTCATCAATAGAAGAATCTTCAGAAGGGTGGATAATGAAATAACCTGCTTATTTTTCTTCAGTATAAATTAAACGATAGTCATATCTTCTGTAAAACCAAACATGCTCCACTTTTCTGGTCGTTTAGTAAAAAAATCATTGGGAATTTGCCTTTTATTTTTTCGAGTGTTCCCACAATTGTCAGTTGATGACTTTTTAGTAAGTTATTGGCTACTACAACAGAAGTGAACCAATTATCCATTGTAACATTTTTCGTAGATTTTGACAATGGCAAACAAAGCAAACAGATCAGATGAAACTTCTTCGAACAACCGAGTCAATCTTTCAACTTCTTTTTCGTCCATTATTCTGGAAGAAATATAGATTTTTTAAATGAAATTGAACCTTGATCACAAAAATATGGATGAAATTATTTCAGATATTTAAAAAAACACTTACACAAAGGAACGCGTCGGGTCTGCAAGACCGAAATCCGCTCTAAAATCGTTGTTCTCTAATGCACTGCGTTGAAACTACTGTAGTACATGCATCTTGGGCTAGCTCGAAGTTACTGAGGCTAGTAGCACCTTACGCGCTTTTATGTAAAAATTCCACAAGCAATTATGATTGCTTGGGCCTGATAGACCCGATGTGTCCACTGCAGGGTTAAAAATATACAAAAAGAAATTCACAAAAATTTTCAACAATTGAACATAGCTATCTATTTATCTGAAAATTCAACAAAAAGCACTTTTTTGCACTCATCAAAGCTATGGCATATATTTCTGAACCAAGTTATGTGAGGAGTACAACTGAAAGGAGAAATGATAAATCCTCGTCCTGAGAAATATTAAAATATAATTTCTAATTCAGGCATTGAAAAAATATCTGTGAAGTGTAATAACATCAGTGTCTCAAATCCAGTCTTGACCAATGAAAATGATTACTTTTTTTAATTCACAATGAATGTACTATGAAAGACTCAACGCCTAGTGGAATCACAATGTAAACAATAAATAGTTTTAGTCAATTAGCCACGAATACATAATTTTATTAATAACCATAGCAATCCATTTTGAAACTGATATGTTGCTGTTTTCAAGCATCCACTTTAACATACACTTTGGGCCTTTGAAAAACTTTAATGCCTCCATCTATTCTTTTCAACTCTTCTTCTATTTCCATCTTCCTTTTTTTTATTCTAAGAGTGTCACTCCGTACAGGCAAACAATTCAGTTCTTGAATTCGATCAGCATAACCTGAAAATACCAAATTTGTATTAATGTTTATGAAAACTGTATGTGTAAGATACTTATACTACAAATAAATTTATAGACATTCATCAGTTGACATAAATCAACAGTTTTAAAATACAGGCTATCAATTTGAAAACTTCCCACCCTAAATATCTTCTTTTCAGTAAATAATATGAGTAATCGAAAAAACAGGTCAGTTTTATTGTCAAGGGGGACACTTTCAAGGACTATTTGTAGCCCTCCTAGTTCAACCCCCAAGAAGGAGTAGATGTTACCCTTAGAAACTTAAATGGGATGGGGTGTCAAGTGGCACATCATTTTAATTGGGGTTCAGTTCTGCTTCCAATGATACCCTGACGTTTTATTTTTTGATGAGCAGGTTTCAAAAATATCGTTCTGAAGTTACACAATTAATTAGAATTTGCCTGTTTTGAGATGCATTATTGTATTGACTCCTTTTAATAAAAATGGTTATAAGAGTAGGTGGCACCATTCCAACCCTTGAATGACAGTGATAAATGTGTTATGCTTGGGATTTTTTATTTGTTTGTTAGTGTCCTTTTACAAAATAAAATTTGATTTGCGAGAAAGACATATCAAACAATATTTACTTATGCTTATCTTATAAACAGTTCGAAATGTCGTCCATTTTGCTCTAAACAGTAATAAAGTCTGTTTTTGAACTCCCCTGTAACATTACGGAACTTCACTAGGAATTGACTGGCATGCTGCTGTAATTAGTGTTTCAAGTTCTTCAATATCAGAAGGTTGTTTTTTATAAACAACGGGTTTAAGATGCCCCCAAAGAAAGAAGTATAAGGGTGTTAAATCCGGTGATCTCGGAGGCCATTCAACTGCTCCTCTTTTGTCAATCCATCTATCCGGAAATTTCTCATTTAATCACTGTCGGACAGAAAGAAAATAATGAGGTGGAGCACCGCCCTGCTCGAAATGTAAAAGACCGTCCTGCGAAAGTTCATTACCTCCTGCATCCATTTGAGTTTCTAGCTCGTGAGTTATAAGAGGCATTTCAAGGTATAGATTGTCAGTCAAGTTTTCTTCCAGAAAAAATGGACCAATAATGGCATTTCCAAGAATACTAGCTCAAACATTAACTTTTTGTGGATGTTGTGGATGCCCTTCCCGACAAATATGTGGGTTTTCGTCACTGCAATAGCCATATTGTCATTCAGAAAAAATAAACATTCTGTGCTGAAACAGATTTTCAACAGAAGATTAGGGATGGTACTGATTCGATGAGACATGATTTCACAAAACTCTATTCTTCTATCATAATCATCCTCGTGGAGCTCTTGAAGAATCTGCATCTGCAATGCTTTTCTTACAGTCCCGGTGACATTCCTGTCTATTCTGATACTGATCGTAAGGAGCTCGTGGGCTCTGCAGTAAGTGTTCCCAAAACTTCAATTTGAGCTGCTTCATTCAGTACTTTGAGGTTATTTCTTTTTTTTTTATCATCACCGAATCAGTTTCGTAAAACTTATTCACCAAATCAAGCACATACCGGATGTCTTTCGTTAAAAAAATTTGCCGCTCTTCGTGAGCACTTTCCAACTTCTCCATAAATTACAATCATTTCAATTCTGTCTTGAAGTATTGAAACCATTTTCACACTTTTATACACTCATCGAAGTAATCACTAAATAGCCCAACATGTACAACTGTATGCATAGTACTACCACATCATTAAAATTTGCGAACACCTTTTTTGTCTGAAAACAGAAACTTTTTACAGCAGGAGTAGCAAAAAAGGACAGCTATCTGTACACTTTCTATGATGAAACTTAAAAATAAATTCAGCATTTACTAAACACATCTTTACTACCATCCATGTTTTACTATTAGTCTACTTTTTGATGTAAATTAATTGGAGTTAATGGCTAATGTTACCCTTAATGAAAATTTGGAATGGTACCACCTAATATTCTTACCAGTTCTGGTCAAACCATGCATCTCAGTATAGGCGTACCAATAATTACCATACCACATACCAAAGCACATACCATCAGTGGTATGTGCTTTTACTGCGAGGACGAAAGTTATATCTCAAAGTCTCAGATATAACCTTCGTCCTCGAAGTCTACGCATCTATCACTGATACTTCGGGTTCCATTCGACCACCCGGATGGCCGTTCCTTCCTGTTGTTCATAAAAGCAACCTTCTACCTGGAAACGATTTTGTTTCATACACAAATTGGTAAGAGAAACGAATTCATCGATTTCGTTGTTATTGAAATTATTTTTCTCTAGTAGTTCNTGGGTGGTATTACTGATTACCTACCTGTATGATGTACCTGATTAGTATAAGTAGCTTTAGTTTTGAGTAGTTATTAGTTTTATCTTCCTCTTGAAGATGATCACTTGGTGATCGAAACACGTGTCGAGGTGTAAAAATAACGATTTGGTGTTGGGAAAAAACTCCAGTAATATTCATTACTACACCAAAGGTTCCAAACAGTATATCACAAGATTATAGAAATCAATAAATGAAGTATTGGTAAATTCTTTTTTTTTAAGGACAAAACACAAGCACTACAGGAAAATCCTTAAGGTGCTCTAAGAGCGGTGCCTGTGCGAAAGTAGTGATTCATATTGGATTTGAATCGCTGGAGATTAAATCCATTTGGAAAAACGTTCTCAAAAAGTTTATTTCACATAAACGCAGTTCTCCAAATGAATGAGTTCTTAAATAATGAAGTTCGAGGTATACTGAGTTGAACCTCCGTCCCGTATTTCTGATATGTACCGCTCTTGGTGGAATCAAATGTGCCAAGTCACTTGAACACTTCCCGTGAAAGTATCTATAGAAGAGAGACAAATCTCCAACCTTTCTTCGATGTTCCAGGCTATCAAGGTTGCACGTGATGTTCGCGTCTCCAATCAGGCGGATGGCTCTTTTCTGGATGAAATCCAGCAGCTTCAGGGTATGTTCAGGGGCAGAGCTCCATACATGAGAACAATACTCCAAAGGTCTGATCCGAGCTTCATAAAGCATCAAAAGTTGCTGAGGTGTGTACAGTTTTCTGGTTCGGAACAGTGTTCCAAGCTTTTGAGAAGCAGCCTTTACAATTCCAGCGACATGATTGTGCCAAGACATATTGGTGTCCATTTTAACTCCCAACAAACTTATCGAAGCAGAAAGCGCAATTGTCTGACCTGACAACCAATCAGTAATATGAAAAGTAATTGAATATGTGGTTCTAAATCAATTGGTATCGTTTTTAGAGAGGAACAAAGTTATTATGGTTTTCGTAGCCAATACAACAGCAATTATCTCCTTCTATGAGAAAGTATTAATAATAACTACTGAGAAGGGTGAAAATCCGACAGGAATATTTAGTGATTTAAGTCGAGCTTTTGATTGTGTTCAACACAAAACTCTGCTTGATAAGTTATATAAATTTGGTATAAGAGGTAAAATTCATGACTGGTTTAGCTCGTATCTGAAAGGACGGAAACAAATTGTAAAAATCTCTCATTGTGGTAAAACATCTCGGTCATCTCCTCAAAGAAATGACATTGGGGTACCTCAAGGCTCCATTCTGGGGCCAATACTATTCGTCTTATATATTAATGAGCTACCTCTGATCTTAACTGATGCATTCACTACATTGTATGCAGATGACTCAACGCTACTTTTTACAGGAGAAAACTCTGAAATTCTGAAAACAAAAATTAACACCACAATGCTCAACTTTTCAGTCTGGTCTTCTGATATGTCTCTTCTTTTTAATACAAACAAAACAAATTGTGTAACTTTTCATACTCNGAAACAGATTTTCAACAGAAGATTAGGGATGGTACTGATTCGATGAGACATGATTTCACAAAATTCTATTCTTCTATCATAATCATCCTCGTGGAGCTCTTGAAGAATCTGCATCTGCAATGCTTTTCTTACAGTCTCAGGTGACATTCCTGTCTGTTCTGATACTGATCGTAAGGAGCTCGTGGGCTCTGCAGTAAATGTTTCCAAAACTTCAATTTGGAACATCAAAATACCATGAAAAACGTTATTCAAAACTTATTTCGGTTTATTGAAATAAATGTTCATAACTCACTTGGACATGATATTCCATTTTAATAGTGAAATTCCAGATGAATAACTTAGATTGATGAGAAACAATTACTCCTTTGTGCCATGGGAGAAATAAACCTTTTGGATTAACTGTTTCCCCCTTTTGTTACTAAAATAACAATTCTTTGGAAAGTGTTTATAGATACTGATTGTTTATCCTTCCTTAGAGAGGTTTCTATTATCATTTAACATGAAGATGAAGACCTAACTTTTCTTCCAAATAACATTCTCAAAATTGTTTCAATATTATATCGGTTTTTATCTCAAATCAAAACAAAATTTTGTCGTTATTTTGAAAATTGAATCAGGGAAGGTTTTATAAACATACGGAATTTTACAAAAACACTGATTTCACAGAATTATGCAATGTTTAATACTTACTTTGTCTCAAAACCCTCAAAGTTTCTTTCCTTTCTTCTTCAGGCAAGAGTACATGACCTACAGGACATGGTTCCTCTTCATCTTCCACTTTATCCTGTTTCCTATCCCTAATGTATTTTGGGACAACTCCCCTCTGATATGTTGGTGGTGCTTCAGCTGGTACTTTAGTAAGAAGTTGTTTCACAGCCCTTGGTTTGAAACCTCTCATATTTTCTTTTATAAAATCTTTTTCATCCAGTTCTATAAATATTATATCATATGATAAAAAATAATTGGAACTTATTCATCATGAAGTAAATATAACCAATTAATACTTTGACAAGTATTTAAAAAAGTAGATCTGTTAGTATATCAATACTTGAATAATAATGATTTTGTCTTTTGAAATCGGCCAGAATGCATCATACAATTCCAATGAGAAAACTATAAGCTGCTGGTATTCAAAGTACTGTAAAATAGTGTTCCAAGAATTACCTGTGAAATTGAAAACACATCACTGAAATTATCCAGAGTTCTTCAAGGTAGTGACTCGGAAGCATTAATGTTTTTGTTATATATAAATGACATTTATCTTTTCCGTTCCAGACTTTATTAACCTGTTGTTTGTATGATGTTATCTATTTCGATTAGAAATTTGGATAGCGCTATCAACAAAATGAATCTCACTATAAACTATTCACTTATATCTTAATAATAATAAACTGAAACGTGGTAGGTATAATTAGAACCTATGGCGTAAAATAACCTATCAAAACTATTTTTTCCACGCACGATGCTATTTTCTCATTTCTGAATAAAGTTTATTCTGAGATAAATGTCGATGAAAAGACTGCGGCAGTTATTTTGTGACCTGTCAAAGGCATTCGACTGCGTTGATCACAAAATACTGCTGAGAAAGCTCCAACGTTATGGATGCAGAGGAGTAACTCACAAATGGTTCGATTCCTACTCAATGGGACGGAAGTAAATGGTCAAAACATCTCCACTTTCAAAAAAAAGGGAAATTAATTCTGGAGTTCCACAAGGTTCTGTGTTAGGTCCCATCCTTTTCTTANAGAGTTTTAGCATTTGTTTGGATTGTAGTATCGTTTGCATATAAAATATATGATAACGGGTTCTCCAGATATGGTAGGTCATTAATGAAAATTATGAATATTATAGGTCCCAAAATAGATCCTTGAAGCACACGAGTTGAAATTTTTTTTTCTTGTTGATAGAGAATTGCCCACTTTCACAGTTTGAAATCGATTTTCTAAGTATGAGTTGATCAACTTTATGGTGTTGTCAGAAAAATTATATACTTTTAATTTATTCAAGGGAATTTCATGTGATGCACAATCAAATGCTTTGCTTAGATCACAAAAAGTTATTTCTGTATACTCTAGTTTTTCAAAAGTTGTTGTTATTTTGTGTCTAAGATCTAGTATTGCCATTTCAATGTTTCCACCTTTTCGGAATCTATACTGGCAGTCTGTGAATCAATCAATCAATCAAAATATACTTTATTGTCGAAAAAACTCTTGTTTTGTTGACAAAGTAGAATATACACGTATAGAAATAAAATTTAGGCAAAATACACACAATTATGTAAAATATAAATAAAATAAAATAATAATATAAATAAAATGTTATAATTCTCGAAATGATGTACAATTATTAGAGCTATACATTTTGGTATTTTTTGTTGTAGTTGGTGTTTCCTTAACGTGATCTAACCTAACAATCTATAGATATGATACTCCCTAGGTGGCTCGGGGAGTTATTAACATTGCCTACCCAGGACACGAAGCTAAGGATTAATGTAGTCGATGCTGATAACACCAAGAAAAAAAAAATACTGTAATATTTCAGATAATGTGAGCAATATGCTCGAAAATTATAGACAAGTACTATAACTCTCGGGTGATTTTTCATTTCCTGTCTGTGAATGGCAAGTACTTCAGCTAACTTGAGCACCAGAGGAAAAATCCCATCAGAGAGACAAACATTTATGTTGAGCGTGAGAGGTGATAAAAATTGTTTGAAAAGATCACTACTGCAGAAGATGTTTTCTTTGGTAGAGGTTCTTATATAATTATTTTCAGAAACCTCAATATTAGCATCAACATTGTGTTCTCAGTCAAAAATTCGTTAAAAAAATCTACATCAATTTCGAATTGAGATGAAGCATAGACATCTTTTCCCCTTTCTGTATTTAGGATTTTCCATATTCGTTTTTATTACGAGAGAGTGATATTTGACTGCAGTGGTAATAATTTTTGGAATCTATCGGCATTTTGTTATATTTTTTCTTACTCATTTCATATAGAGTTTTATCAATTGAAAATTCTACTTTTAATTTCTGTTGTTCAATCGGGGTATTTTTCCAACAATCAAGTAAAAGAGATTTTTCCTGATTTTCATTAATGAGATTGAAGGAGTTTTTGAAGTGTGTCATAAATATCTCCTGAAAAGGATTTTTCCAACAATCAAGTAAAAGAGATTTTTCCTGATTTTCATTAATGAGATTGAAGGAGTTTTTGAAGTGTGTCATAAATATCTCCTGAAATGTTTGTGTCATTTAATCCTGTGATGTTAATTAACCGTACATTTCCACCTGTAATGCATTACTCAGATATGATTTGAAAGTACTCAAATTCCTATAGAAAAAATTCAGTTTGTAAGTTTCGATATTTTTTATTTGGCTTTTTACTTGATGATATGGTCTACGAAAATTCAATATTAGAAAATATGTTTTGGGGCATGTTTCAGATTTCCCTGCTGTTCTGGTAACTGATCAATTTTTTTGTTCATATCAAACAGATCAACAACAGAAATTGTTTTGGTTTATGGGCTTAAAGATATACATTGACATCACTGGAATGACAAAAAATGCTTTGGAATACTGCTTTTCTCTATGTATAGATGGGGTTCTGTTGTTGCGAATAAGAACTTCAGAAAGTCAGGATTGCCACAGTAGACAGAAATTACAAGCGAATTGTATCTCACCAAGTGCACTAGAAATTTCTGAGATAAGAGCTTTGCATCAACAATCTCTTTATCATCAAGGTAATTATCAATGTCAATAAAAGTGCTTCCATGAATGTGATCAGTTCTACAGAAAACTGAAATCAATTCGAAATTAGAAATTGTATAAGTGGAAGAGTCACTAGCAGACAACCAGTGTTCAGTTATACACAATACACTTGCATTTCCGAGACAATTAACAAAATTATCTAATTGCAAAATATTATTTCTGATACACTGAGTATTTAGATGTAAAATACTTAGCTGCTCTGTTTCATAATTCATTTGTTGATCATTCTTTGCTTTTAGGAAGTACCATTGATGATGTCTGTCATAGTAACATGTTAAACGTTTGGTACTTCATATTTCACAGCCTATCAGCTCAGATTCGTTAATTTAAATAATGATCCCGGTTGTGAAAGCCTATGTTATTATATTGAATCTTGAGTAGTCTGATGTCTTGTTTTCTGACAAAAATAAAGTATCCATTTATTAGACAATTAAAAACGACAGCCCAAGTTTCAGAATTTTCTCACAAGATTAGAGTCTACATACTGTAACGATATCTTAGAACAGAAAATATCAAATCTCTATAGAATAAAAATATACCACCATTTTCTAATAACTATCCAGCTACTAGAGGCAAAGAAATATGGGCTATTTCAAAATTCTTGAGTAGTATTGAGTTTCATTCAATTCCAACAAAAGTTATATTTGGTACTCTCTTCATTCTCAAATTGTATTTCCCAATTGTTTTGTATTGTAATAGTATAAATTATTTATTTCAATTCTGGAGAATATACTGAAACATTAGTATCAACACTGTGTGTAACACATAAAGTATTTCAATTTGTCCAATTGCTCATGAGCCTACTAAAGGAAAAAACATTTGCGAAAATGAAATATGCTAACAAATTATCTTACCTAAGTTCTGAATATCCCTATCAAGATCATCACCATGATCTTTTAAATTTGGAGATTCCCTCAGCTTTGCTAAACCAGCACTTGGATATTTGATTACCCCAGTTTCAAATAATTTATTGATGTCATCCGTTCGTTCCGTTTGCACTGAACGATGAGTGACTTTCTGTCCACTTTGGTGAGTTGAATCAGTGTTAACATCAGGTATTTCTGCTTTGTCTTCAGCTTTCAGTTTTAATCCGAGAGAAATAGTTTTTCTGGTGGGCGACTTTGAGTTTTTATTAAGATGATTCATTTGCTGGCGTTGAGGTGTAGCATCTCTTGTTTTGTGGAAGGACGGAACATTGTGAAATTTTTCCATATTTGATCCCTTAGATTTTGGTATTCCTGCTTCTTGGAGTAAACCCTGTAACTGCTTGATAGATTTCACATTTTCTTTGATGAAATTTCTTCGATAAGCAGGTTCTAAAAAGCTGAACTGATAAAAATGCAATAGAACATTTGAAGTATTTACTTGTTTCCGGAAAAACCCCTCTCAATGTACTGGTTGTATGCATATCTGTAACTTTTTCCCGATTTATGTCTTCAATTGCTTCATGACATTATAAAAAAATCTCACATTTTTGATAAGGCTGAAAATGCCATTTGTTTTGCCGTCGTCAAGATACTATAGTATCTGCCAAAAAATATTATTAAATCAAACGGTTCGGGCATTATTAACATTGATTCAACATACATAAAAAAGCAAAATTACTAAAATTTATTTTTATTTGCTTATAATTCACTTCGAAAAACAAGGATTTCAACATTAGGTGTGAATTGAAGAAAACATATATTACCAGTATTTGTGGCTTTTTCTAGGCTATCGCTGAAATGTAATATTCACCTTTACGTGAAACCTTGGAAGGAACGTATCAAAATAGGTTTGTACTGATGTATTATTTCTACTTTTTTTCAGAAAATTGTCTGAAGATAGCATCCAGAATGCTGAGCAAATAAGTTAATCTGCAATCAGGATGAATATTCATTTGAATGAGAACAGTGTCACTTTCCGAAAATATTTTAAATGAATTAACTTTTAATTTCACGGAGTTTATCCAAAAATCAAAGAATGTGTACTGTCCAACTCTTTAGAGACAGAAAAATAACAATACGTATTTCAACATTCACCTTCCACTTCTTCAAATGAACTGAAAACTATTTGGCCCCTTTTCCCATTCTGAATAGTCTCAAATTAAGGAACGAACCTCTCTGGGGCATTTTGAATAAATTTTGATCTTTCATATACCACAGTTTCGTTAAGAAAATATTCGACTCCTCATTCAATTCCGAAGTCTTTGGCCCAAAATGTGTCCCCTGTTAGTCATCAGAGATTTCTATGATACCTGAAATTGAATCGAAATCTACCGTCAAGGTTTCATGTATTTCAACAAGAAACTTTCTCTTTCCAATCGATTCTACCACAATTCCAGTCACCAAATCGGATTTATATTTTGTGGTGATATCACATGAATTCCGATATTTCGTAGAAATTCTTGAAATTATGTCAATATGAACTACATTGCCATATCCGATACACTTTTGTCAGGTTGACCAATTTGTGGAAAATAACATGGCATTCTCATTATAATACAATGAGATGTTACGGAAGTTATAATTATAACTTCAGCGAAACTTCGATAGAGCATCTAGAATCCCTAAAAATGTTTCTGTTAATTGGCTTAAAAAACTGAAGGCAAACGTTGTTATACTCCACTGGAAATTGGTCAGGGTTGCAATTCACTTTTAAGAGGTTTTTGTTGAACACTGACGCAAGTTCTGACCAAATTTTTGTTTGGAGTGAATTGAAAAATGATTCATCCTGAACATCTATCCTTCCAGATCAGCTGTTCGAAACATAATTTGGAATAACTTTCATAATTTCATTAGCTTTTGTTTCATTTCTGATAATATTTACTACTTGAGATACATTGACGGGTTTTGGAATTTTCAATATGGTATCCATTTTTTTCGCTTTCATGCAACCCGTGCCTACCAAATCTATAACCTAAATATTATTATAGATCCTTCAAAAATTTGCATTTTGTTTTCGTTTTAGTCAATCAACAATTGTATAATCTACCTAAAACTAACTTCACCCTTGCAACATGTGCCTGATTACTTGTATCCCTGATCAGAATATCGATCATCTAAGAAACAGCATATTTTCGTTATTTCCGTTGAAGTTTGTTCCATTACTTGTTAGAAAAATTTTGGAGCTGAAGACATCTGGAAGGGAAATCAAATGTAAACAAAGCAATTCTTGTGTATTGGAAATGCAGTGATTTTGTTTTATTTATATCACAATTGCAATTGTTGATCAGAAAAAAAATTGACAATGAACAAATTAGTTGAATAAAAGGCGAGTTCTTAAATTTATCGAGGACCCCACCGATGGATCCCATGGATTCACCATTGCATTCGAAACATTAGTGCGTTTCTATCGGTCAAAGCAGTACATCAAAAATGTTCTGTTGAATTTGAAAACTCGCTCAAATGAATATGAACCGTCATTGGAGGAACATGGATGTACCTTTACCTCAGGAACAGATTAAATATTTAAACTGTGCCTCAGGTATCTTCTTGTTGAAATTCGCTCTATTTCCTAACCCTCCCTATATACGAAGCATATCTATGATCTAATGTGGAAAGAAATTAAGTTGACACAGTCTGGAGTTGGGAAAATGTCTAGAGTAATTTAAAAATATGTGATGAAAATGCTTAGGACGTTTTCTTTGCCCGTAGATCAAAATCCATACACTTATCTTCTGCTAAGTGAAATTTTGTCTCGAATTTTCACTGTTCCAATATGTATCGTTCAACATGGAATGTTATGTACCTATCAGTAATCAACTTTACAAAAACGAAGATAATTATAAAAATGTATACGTCAATTTTTTAACACCAAACTCTGTAGTTATGAGTTTTGTTTGAAGTCATTAGGTGTTTAATTTCAAATTATTTTTTTGTTCTACGTAAAATTGGTGCTGGTAGAAAAAACCATAAGAAAAAATTATTATGATCTTCAAACAAAACTCATCCTCTGACGGAAGCAAGAAACTCTTTCGAAGGTTCGAAATAGATGAACATTTCAATCTAGCAGACCACTATTATAATATTATTCACTGTGTTTCTGGCGTTGAATTTGATCATTATTACGTCTTGGTCAAAGACGAAACGAACTGGTTTAAGTATGACGATAGTCGTGTCACGAAGTGTTCTGGCGATGTATTGAATCTATTGGAACCTCTAGAGACACCCTACATTTTGTTTTATGAGAGATGACATTGGCAGATCAAGATCTTTAGATGATGTGATGCTACATGTTTTTCCGGGTTTTCCTGCAGCTGAAAAAGCAAATGTGCCAATTATTTCTTATTGTTGTTTTGCGCCAATTAATTTGTATTGTTGTTTTATTTTTATCATTGTTTTATAATTTCACAAATAAACATTTTCTAGGATGTTTTTTTGTTTATTTGATTTAAATAATCGATGTAAGATAACATTTGAACTAATTACAAGGATACGCTATATAACAAAATGGACATAATCAACAGTATTTTCTCGTTTTCATTTCTTCATAGTTACGATAGGTGGCACAGTGGTCTCCTCAAAATGCGTTCTGGTCTAACCGTCCGTGACTATTTTGGACTATTTTTTACGCAGTTTCCAAACAGTTTCGGATGTTAGAACCAGAACAAACGTAAAAGGTTAGATTTGTTCTGTGCCACCTATCGTATATATGAAAAGATTAAGACTAGAAAATACTGTTGATCATGTCCATTTTGTTATGTAGGGTATCCTTGTAGTCAGTTCAAATGTTATCTAACTTCAATCATCAATTATTTGAATCATATAAAAAAACGTCCTAGCTAAAATAAATTTCCACATGAATGCGCATGAGTAGCGGGAACAAATCCCAATAGTTCAGCCTCGAGAGGAAGAACGATTCGGTTTGGTTCAAGACAGTTAAGAGTTTAGGCCGAGAATACCTGTAGGTATTCTCGGGTTTAGGATCATTTTGCAGTGGAAACCAGAACAGAGGATTCATAAATCCGAACTTATCCTCAATAAACCATATAACCAATAAACTATATCAACTGCGCATGATCCTGTCGTCCTAGAACCTGAATTTTGTAGAACCAGAACAAACCTCTTCTTCAATTTTTCAGTTTTTATTGTGTAGGTCTGTAGGTTAATTTTAATATTTTAATTTGCAGAAAAGTAGTTGGGGATTTTTTGATTAACTGTCTTAGTGCCAAAAATAAAGTTATGCCTTATTATAAACTTTCTTTAGACGGAAAAACAAATAGAATATGGCAAATTAATAAATTTTGTCGAATTTTGAAAAGAAAAAAGTTTCCAACAAAACCCATTGAAATCGTATTTCAAATGATGCTCACAAGATTCAGAAGAGTTAGAACTTTAGAAACGGTATACTCCAAGCTGAAAATAACGCAAATACTGGATGAGGTATAACAATATTAATATCCCTGATAATTAGTTGTATTTCAGTATAATTACAGTTATAATTAACTTATTGAAATATCTTTTTATGCTTATGTAATTAGGCAGAGTAAAAATATCTGTATTCAAGAATAACCAGTTTACTAAGTGGTTCTAAAATTCATCAACTACCTATTATTATGCCCTCTATACATTCAGAGTGTTTACTACTGACTACTATACATTCAGATTGTTTACTACTGTTATTGTCTTCTGATATAGTAATAAACATTTTATTTTTTCGAATATATATTGAGTTAGGATAAATGGAAATGAGGTGTTCTTCTCATTCCCAGGTCATCAGGAACGACTACTTCGGTACTACCCAAAATCGAAAAAGGTTTTACCATCTTGTGAACAGGATAACTACTCAGTCTCGTTTCGAGTGTATTTACAAGTCAAATCTATACAAAGGCTATGATTTGAAAGTAATTCCTTGGCTGCAGAAAGAAAATCTGGATGATGAAGAGGCTCGAGTTCTTCTCATGAAAGCCAACACATACCTTCTGGAATACATCGTTGCACCTCTAATAAAGCACTTTTACCATCCACTCAAGTCATTCAAAGACTATGAGGTGAAATTTATTGAAAGAAAAAAATGGCACTCATTTCAACAGAAAAATCTTCACCATCTTTTGACATCAAGACATTTATTACCTGTAAAAAATGTGACATCCCGAGGGGTATTGAGAATATTCCCAAAAACTGACTGTGATAGTTTGGAGTTTAGACCACTCATATTACCTTTCAAAAGAGATATGGCCACAAGACAGAAATTCAAACGAATCTCGAGGCAGATTGAATGTTTAGCTAGAAGTTTTAGTTCAATTGGTAGATCATCACTGTTTGATGCTTGGGAAAAATATTGCAGATGGGCTTGTGATGATGATATTTTCGGAATAAAATTGGATGTGAGAGATGCTTTTGGATCTGTCGACATTGTAAAACTTTGTGAAGTTTTAAAATGCAGCAGTTTCAAAGTTGGAGAGAAGCAGTTTGTTATCAATCATATTCAAAACCAATTTGTTACATATAATAAAAAAATGTACAAGTGGAATCATGGGCTGCTTCAAGGAGATCATTTGTCATCTAGTCTCTGTAACCTTTACATAAGTGTTTTAGAAAAAGAAAATTTTCAGGCATTTTTAAAAGAAGGTATTTTTTTGCATAGAATCGTGGATGACTATATGTTCTGCTCCTCTGAAGAACATGATGTATATGCATTTGAGAAAAAGTGTAAAGAGATATTCCAGCTTAATGAATCGAAAACTGAAAAAGCAGGATTCACTGGAAATGCACAAATACGTTACTATGGACAAGTATTTCATTTGGAAACAAGAATGGTGGGCAAATTGTATAATTATCGAACTGGCTTCCCTATTCGACATAAGTTCAAACTTTGGAACATTAAGCGTCCCATTCCTGAAAATGCAAAGCAACAATTCATACTAAATACGCTGCAGTTTTCATATAACAACCATTGTTTCAAAAGACTTGACCTGAATACAATTTTCAATACTGAACAACAAGTACTCCTTAACTATTTCAAAGGAATGATATTTATAGCTTTTAAATTCGATGCTGCAGTAATGTCCATTAGAGAATTTAAAGAAGTGATAGAAAATATGCCATATTTGTTAACTGTACTAAATACTGTTGTTAGCAATTTCAGCAATATTGTGTTTTACAAGATAAATCAGTGTAAAGGCATCAATTTTAAAGGATGTATAACTTTCAAATTATTAAAAAATATTGGGTACAGAGCTTTCATTTGTGTTTTGAAAAAAAACAACGAGTTTTATAAAATATTGATAAAATCACTGGAGAAGAAAGATCATTTTTATATGTATTTGAATGAATTTCAAATTTCCCCAAAAACCTTCATGGTGCTACCATCTGTTTTCAGTAGTATAAAAATGAATAGGAATTCAAGAATATAAATTATCTTAATTCATTTTTCTTCAATTCAAATGTTTTATGTAAAATAAGAGTTGCCAATATTAGTTTTAGTGACAATTATTTCGTTACCCCGGCAAATCTTATTCAGCGTCGAATAAGTCGACGCGAATAGTAATTATGTTAGTTTTATTGATATGGAAGGATAACTCATTGCAGTCACAGCATTCTTTCATTTCAATGGCGTCTTTAGATATGGTCTCGTTAAGAGTACGGGTGTTGATAATGAAGTGATGTCGTTAGCACATAATGAAGTGATGTCGTTAGCAAAGAGAGTGATCGTTGCCGTTATATCTACAAAAGCTAAATTGTTTATGTGAAGAAGAAACAAAATAGGGCCAAGAATCAAGCCTTGAAATACACCACATTTGAAGATCTGATCAGAAGAGTACTCAGTTGTTTTAATTTGTTTGCCGAAAAATATGATCGAAAACAGTGAAGGGTGACGTCTCTGCAGCTCATTTAAAAGAATCCCATGATTGACACAGTCAAATGCTTTCGATAAGTCGCAGAAAATGGCATCGACTGGTTTTTTAGCATTATATTTGAAGTATAAGGTTGTTTGGAATCCTAACTAGCGAGAAATAGGATATTAATGTCATTACAGAAGGAAGATATTCTGTTTTTGTCAAATTTATATAGGGTCTTTCATTTAGCGCTTCCTATCTTCAAATTCAAATAAAATATAGGGTGTGTGAGATATCACCGAAATTTTGTATTCGATTGAAAGACCTATTGATGCCATAATGTGCGGAATATAACATCGTTCAAATGTCCGCCACGGCTTCTTTAGGTGCAACGTCCAATATTCTATGACTCTAAAGGGGTCAAATCGTACAATTTCGGTGGCCAGTTCACATCACCTCCTCGTGCAGAATATCCAATGTGGCATGAGCTCTGTGGCACGTAGCGCCGTCCTATTGAAATCACGTGTTGTTGGTATCCAAATAATCCAATTCAGGCCAAAAGAAGTTGGTAATCATCGACGAGTGCTCACCGTTGACAGTGATGGCCTGGTCAACAGTACCAAATCATGAAACAAAAATTACTGAATCCGAAGAAAATGTACTAAAAAGAATAAATATCAATCTGTACCAAAACGGACTAAAAAGCACCAATACCGAACACAAAAGGTACTAAGTACATGGTGGAAATTTTAAATAAATGGCGGGAGTTTTAAATTAATGATGTATTTATAATAACATGGTGATTCTGCAACCGTGTTAGGAATCACACGTTAAAAGGTAAGACCTCGTTAGTCCTTAGCTTGCACAATTTACTCAACTTCTGAGAGTTGTCGTTCGTATGGGGGCGACAGCTGATTAACGGAAAACAGATTATTTTTTAAACAAAGGAGTAAAACTTCACACTGTTGCTGTAGACCTATATAAATAAAAAAATAAATATATACATTTATTAAAATAAAAATATCTTCTGAAATACATACAGATATAAATACTA